CCCAATCTGTCAACATATGAAAACACATGTATTAACTATCCCAATTGTTCAATATACAAAAACACATGTTTTAACTATCCAAATACATCAACATACAATAACACATGTATGAACTTTGCCAGTCTGTCGGCATACAAAACCCCATGTATGAACTATCCCAATCCATCAATATATGAAAACACTTGTATTAACTAATGCAATAAACTATCCTGATCAGTCAATTAACTAAAACAGTCAAAACGCATGTATACTACAACAAATCCATATAAAACAATAATTTATATATGTACTTGATAAACCATTACAATCCTGTAATTACAATTTCTAAGTATACTGTAGGGGAATCCCCTACACTTTTACCGTAAACAAACAACAAACGATATTTCAAAGGTTTATCAGATGTGAAGTCATCTTTAAAAATCAAAAATACATTATATTTGTCAGCATGACTATTTGTTAAATTCACCATCCGATTTGAAACCTGCAATATATAGCATGGAGGAAAATCTGGTATCCAAACGATAAGATTCAGAACCATTATCTTCCTTCTTCTAATTTATTGTTGAGGCATAAAATAAAACAGTTATGGACTGCGTAATAAAATATTGACCCCGTCTTTGCTTCGGTTAATATCACGTTTTCAGGTTCATATCATAATAGATTCACAATCATTTTTAAAATTCCATAATTGTTCGATATTTCACAGAACTGCAGTCCATGTACCAGTTCCACACTTAACCTACCTCTCTGAGAAACCTGCTGTCTGTAGCTGCCGGGAATATCTCTGTTTCTAGTTTCAGACCCCTGGAATGAAACAAACATTAGATGATAACAAGGACAAGTCAAAAAGCATCAGTAATGTACCTCTGCCCATGGTACACACAAAATGCCACAAATATGGCAGTTTGGAGTATAAAACAGTCTGGAAACAAGGTAAATGTCATTCCTCAAGACACCTAAAGTGGATGAAAGAGAACTTGGCACATTTGATTTCATTTCGCTATTGCATCTTTTTTTTTTACCTACATTTCAAATTTCCTGCCTGTCTTCTGTCTGAATCTGTTAATTGATTTTCAATGTAACAATGTTAAATGAAAGCTTTATCAAAGAGAGTAAAATGTAATAGGCAAGGAAAATTAAGACAATTTTCAACTGACATGGGCTCTATAGCTGATGTGTAGTCCTGAACACTTACATGTTCTCGCAGACAGAGCTGAACGTTTTCCACCAGGGTTGAGATTTATCTACTGGTGTAGTTTCTTGTATCATGCATTTCTGGGGGGAAAATCATAAAAAAAAATCAATTGGTTTAACTTTCCAAGAAAATCATCTAAAATTTTCTGCAAAATCACCAGAATTATCCTTTTTTTTTATAAGCAACGTAACATTCCAAAAATCAACAAATTGTGAATTAACATTCTGTCAGAAAGGCTACATAATTTTTTTTAAATAACTTTGACACAATTTATAATGTAGATCACTTCTGTGAGATATTTGTTACTTTACTGGAAAGTTTCGTTCATTTTGTGAATTAAAATCTGAGTCAATTATGAGTTTGAAGTATATTTGTGAAAATATATACATTTTTTCAAGAAAATAAAAATTCATGAAAATATGTATTCATAAATATAAAGTGAATTACAGTATATCATATCTTATGTAGGCAAAGAAGTGAAAGTGACATTGGAGACAAAGGATATGCTGCTATTACCTCTATGACTATATATCTAATTAAGTTTGGTTTGTTTGGTGTTTTGCGTCCTTTTAACAACTAGGGTCATTTAAGGACAACCAAAGTGTCTGGAGAAAAACTAATGAAGAACCATGACCTACGGCCAGTACCTGGCAACTGCCCCATGTAGGTCTTGAACCCAGGACCCAGTGTTGGAGGGCTAGCCTAGAGATCGAAGATGCCTAATGGTCAGATGCCTTTACCACTGGGCCACCATGGTCCAGGGCCCGCATTCATGAAACCATTCTTATGCCCAAGCATGGATTCTGTGCTCAAACCGACTTTTTTGTATCTCACTTAAATCATATAAAACACTAAAAAAAGCAAATGTAAACAATGAAAACATTTTTTGGCTTTTATTCTCTTCAATTTTCCCTCAAATCTTTGACAAAATATAATGTTTTTATTAACTTATAAATGAATCAAGAAATGAGGCATGAGCACAAAATCCATGCTTAAGCATGAGAACGGTTTCCTGAATACGGGCCCCGGTCTAGTTATAGTAATACTCATCCAGTGAACATTTTTTTGCTTGGATCCAGTGCCCATATTGGACCATACTTACGTAGTTGGCCGTGTAATTAGAGTTTTTCCATGATGGAAATCCATGTACCATGTCTCATATCACAATACATAGACGTAGATACATATCAAGCCTCAGCATGATTGACCGCATTTCAACCTATTTTGCATAATTTTATTTTCCAGTTCCAATTATTTATCTCCTCTAAATCTTGTCTTATTGATTATTTGAAGTTTATACTTTCAGTACTGTATAAATCAAACTGTGATGCGCTGTTTTCAGTGGTATAGATAATTTTGAAATTGGTTCTGTATTAAGAAATTGGTATTTTGCCATAAGATGTTGGCTACACATATCAAAATAATAAATTTACAAGTGATGCAAGAAAATAACTCTATCATACATAAATTATATAGGTTAGAAATGGCCAACCCTTGTGTACATAATTTGGTTTCAAAAACCTTGCCAAAGCCTCAGATTCTGTACATTTCTATCCTACATCTGATAGATTCATATATATATATTATTACTTACGAATTCTTTATATACTGTATGGGTATATAAAATATTTTTGCAGTGACAAAGATCTCACCCATAATAAACTTAGATGTAAAAATCTGTTGTTTCAATTTATATAAAAAAATGCATAAGGCAACTGTCAATATCACTTAACTAATATATGCCAGAGTTTGATTAATGAGAGATTGGACAAATTTTCAAAAAATGTAGGGAGTATCTTGTTGGCTGTATGTTACCATTCTTACCGATCCATGTTAAATGATAATGTGATGGTCATAAATGAGGAGATCACTGGATTTCCTACCTGGAGAAACTCATATGTAACATCGTCCCCTGCCTCAGCACACCAATTCTTTATCTTGTCTTCAAAGTCGTTGAGGTCCACAGTCGGTGCGATCCTGACGTCAAAACCTGTTAATGAATAGAAAGAATAAACCTTTTCTGGTAAAAAAAAATGCAATATTACAAGACAGAATTTGTCTTCTTCCTCAGTGGTTAGATCATTTTCACGTGGAGGTTGACGATATGCGATACAAGCTTGGCGTTACTATTTTTAGAATAAACATATTGCATTCTCTTTATGACCTCCCTTAGATTGTAACTTCACAATGCCCTCTGTCAAAATCAACACAATTTCCAATATAATACATACGTGTATAACAATTATGTCCTTTTTTAGGTGAAGATGCGGTTATATGTACCTGAAAAGTGCAGATACTGAATTTAACTTTGTTTTGGTTAATATCACTTTCAGGTTCATATAACCACATCTTCACCTAAAAAAGGCCATAATTGATAAATATTTTCAAACGAATAAACTCTAGCAAACCCTCATAGTACTGGTATCTGTAGGAACATTTTGATCATTACATTGTATATTTGAATTTTCATTAGACAAGTCTAGGAGACATATAATAATAATAATATATACAACATTTCATATAGCGCCCTATCTAGCTAACATAAGCCA